ATAGAGAAAATGTGGTATATTTACATAGTGGATTACTATTAAGTGGTAACAAAACAATGGAATTTTGCAATCTGTTGGCAAATGGATGACACTAGAAGAAACCATCCTGAGTGAGGTAACCCACACTCACAAAAAGACAAACATGGTATGTACTCACTCACATATGGGTTTTAGACATGGATCAGCGGCGTGCCAGTCTACAGTCCCTCTGCCAGTGAGTCTGGTAAACAGAACCTTCAACCAATGGCTGATGGAAGCCAAGGGACACACCCCTGGCCGAACACTGATCTGAACTCAATGAACCCAGAGACAGAGAGGGAGGACTGATGATCATAGGGGTCAAGACTGAACTTGTTTAATCTATAGAAAGAGTTGACCTGAACAAGGGAGAGCTCTTGAACCCCAGACCGATGGCTGAGAATCCAGCATGGGACTGATCCAGACCCCTGTGAATGTTGCTGTCAGTGAGGAGGTCTAGGCAATCTATGGGGCCTTGGGTAGCAGATCAATATTTATCACTGGCACACAAATGGACTTTGTGTGCCCATCCCACATTGAGAGATGCTTTCCCAGCCTGGACTCTTGGGCGATGGCCTAGGCCCTGCCCTGGATGAAATGAAAGACTATGGTTATCTCCCATGGATGGCCTCATCCACCCTGGGAAAAGGAGTCGGGATTGGGGGAGTGGAGATGAAGGGGTTTGTGGGAGGGTGTGGGATGAGGAGAGGGATAGGGAGAGGGACCTGGGATTGACATGTGAAGCAACCTTGTTTCTAATTTAAATAAAAAAAAACAATAAAATCAATGAACTTTATGGGTAAGGTGGTAGTTTATCATTGTTTCCATTTATCAAAACAATTCTGAGAGGTCTTCCGCTGGGGCCTATGACTTAATCAAGTAAGAAATTTGGACCCAGTTAATGGTAACAGGCATGCTTTTCACCTGTTAGGTGACATCTAAATTCAAGCAGATAGTGGTTGGTTACTATTGCAAAAGTCATAATGCCATTGTATATGTGTTTTTTCCTAGACAGTCCAGTGCTTATTGTATCTCACAGGGTTCAAAGCTGGGTCAGGGTGTTGATGACTTTTCTTCCCTAGTGGTGTTCATACAACCTTTTAGTGCTATGAAAGCTAACCAGTACTGATGAAGCTTCCAAGTTAGTACCAGCTTGGTTTTCTTTCTTTTTTCTTTTTCCATGTTCTGTGAGTCAAGTATGTGGTGTCTACATCAAGTTGTAGATGGTAATCAAAAGCAATGGCAATAGCTTTCATGTTTAGGGCGAATACCTAGGATGCGTTATTAACCGACAAGTCAAACAGAGATAACCCCTTCCTGGCCTTGGGTTTTTTATTTGATGATATCATTGTATCTAGGGGAATCATTCTCCTTTCATTTATTATAGGGCGACTGCATTTAAACTCTTTATATATGCATCTATTTTGCAGTTATCTAATATTAATTATCCCTGCTCATACTCATTTCTCTACCCTAATGTCATCCTTCTACCCCATTTCATATTGCTGCTCCTCTTTCCCCGTCCCACCAACTTTCTGTTTTCTGTCTTGAAATCCACGCTCCTCCATGACTGTTGCTTGGTGCCTATCTTCTTGGAGTGCTCCAATTTAAATATTGAAATATTTAAAGCCAGCATCTAGCACCCCGTTGAACAAATGAACAGGTGGTGTTTTTCTATTATGTTTGTGCTACCACACTCAGAATGATTATTAATAATTCCATCTATTTACCTGTGTCACAATTATGTTTTTCTCCATAGCCAAGTAGCATTTTATTTATAGCTCATTTTCTTTATGTATTTTTCAGTTGGTACGTTTCTAGGTTGCTTTTTTCTCCTACATGCTGTCAGTAACCAGCAATGAATAGGGAGGAGCAAATATCTCTATAATAAGATATAGAATCCATTGGGAATATACCAGGATTGCCCTAGCTGAATCATTGTGTGTATTTTTCTAGTGTTTTGACTTACTCTTATACTGATTTTCACAGTCCAAGTGTTTCATAACATGGGGTATTTATTTTTGTGTAGGGTTAAAATTAGTATCCAATTTCGTTCTTCTATGTGTAGCTTTCCAGTTTGACTAATACCATCTGCTGAAGATGCTGTTTGGCTTTTGGCTCCTTTGTCAATAGTCAGTAGGCTGTAAGAATGTGGGCTAATATCTGGGCTCTCAGTATTATTCGATAGATCAATATGTTTGTTTTTATGACATTGTCATAGGCTTTTTTATTACCTTATTATCAATCCTATAATTAGAGTTTAATGATGTCATTGGTTCTAGCTGTGTTTTTATTGTTCAGTTTGTTTTGGCTATCCTCGGTCTTTCATGCTTCTATATGAATTTTGCAATTCTTCAATTTCTGTGAAGAATTGCATTGAAGTTTTAATGGCGATTGCTTTGAATCTGGTGATTGCTTTTTATGTTGTAACCTTTAATCCTACCAGTCTGTGAATGAGAGGTCTTTTCATCCTTTGGTATTTTCATCAATTTCTTATTTAACGATTTCATTGTACAAGTGTTTCAGTTCCTTAGTTAGCTACATATACATGTATGAATAGTAGTTCTTCCTGACAGTACTCCTAGCCCACAAATATTTACATGGAAACATTACTTATGAAAGCCCGGCCTTAGCTTAGGCTTGTTCTCAGTTAGCTCTTATAACTTAAATTAATCCATTTATATTAATCTGTTCTCTTCCATCTTCCACACCCTATTTCCTTTCTGTGCCTGTGTCTTCTTCCCAGAGTTGTCCCTCTCTTCCTGGAAGTCCCGCCTATAGCTCCTGTCTAGTTATTATTGCTCATTCAGCTTTTTATTATGCCAGTCAGAGCAATACATCTTCACACGGGGTACACATAACCCACAACATACATATATGTGTGTGTATGTCTGATTTTCAAAATGTATTTCATTCCTTTTAGATATTTATGGATTGGATTGTTTCTGTGATTTCTTTCTCAGTATTTTTGTTAATACTATATAAAAAGCCTGGTGATTGCTGTTTGAACATATTTATTGGCTGTAGCAGTTTTCTGGTGGTCTTTAGAGTCTTTTATGTATAGAACTGTATTGTTTTCAAGTATGGATTGAGTGCTCCAGTGGAGACTGAAGACATTATATTAAAAAGGAGTAGACATAATTGCTATTCTTGCCTCATTCCTGATTTTAGTGGAAATGATGTGATTTTGTTTTCCATTTAACCAGTCTGTAGGCTTGCTGTTGATTGCCCTTATTATACCTATGTTGTCTTTGGAATTTTTTCATGAAAGGATGCTCGTGGATTTTTGTCAAAGACCTTTAATGAGTGTAATGTTTTGATCTGGGTTATCTGTTAGTCCCATTTATGTGGTTGATTATGTTTATTGATTTATATATGTTGAACTACTCATATCTCTGGATAAAGCGTCTTGATCACGGTCAGTGACTTCTGGTGTATTCTTGAATTTAATTTTTGAGTATTTTTCTATTGAGAATTTTTTCTTTTATGATTAGTTAGGTTTTTGGTTTTGTTGTCAGGATAATATTAGACATGTAAAAAGAATTTGAATGTGTTCTTTTTATATTTTACCAAAAAATTGAGGAGTATTATTGTTAGTTCTCTATGAATATCTTAGAATTTCCTTCTCAGTGAATCTGGCCTGGGCTCTTTAAAAAAAACTATGTGATTTTCAGTTACTGGATCTATTTTATTGGTTGTTATAGGTGTGCTTAAATTATTTTCACCATCTTACTTTAACTTTGGATGATCACATACATCTTAAAATTTATCCATTTCTTTCAGAGTCTTCAGTTTAGTGGAACATGAAGTTTTTATAGTATGCTCTAATATTCTCCGAGTTTCCTCAGTGTATTCTTGTTCATTTCTAATTTTATTGATTTTTGGTCCTCTCTTGTTTAATTAGCTAAAATTTTAATCAGTCAAACAAGACTTTTAAAGAACAAACTTCATTTCAGTTTTTCTTTTTTGGTATGTTTTGGCTTCTCTTCCATTAATTTCATACCCAATCCTTACTGTCTGCTGTAACCTACTGGCTTTGGTTTTGGTTTTGCTTGTTCTTGTTATTTCAAGGTCTTTGAGTCCCGTCTTCTGTTACTAATTTCAGAGCTCCCAAAAATTTCCCCATACGTTCTTACTAGTATAAGCTTTTTGTTTTAGGTCTGCCTGAGGTATTTGAAGAAATTTCTATAGACTCTCAAGAATGTGTTTTATAGAATGTCCTATAACTTGAGGATCTTATGATTTATGATGTCATTTAAATCCAATGTTTCTATGTTTGGTTTTAGACAACATGATTTCTTGGTGAGAATGGAGTGTAGAAATCACCCACAATCACTATGTTAGAGTTAATGCATGTTTTAGATGTAATAATATGCAGTTAGTGAAGTTGGCTATACAGTGCTGGGTGCAAATAAATTTACAATAGTACTATCCTTGGTGGATTCTTCCTTTAATGACTGTGACTTGACTTTCCTTATTACTTTTGATTAATTTTGGACTGAAGTCTATGTTGCCGGATACTACAATAGCTAAGCATGTTTCTTACTTCCATTTGTTTGGAATACCCTTTTTTACCCTTTACCAGAAGATGCTGGAATATTGCCAGGTGTTGGCAGCACACACTTTTAATCCCACCACTCAGGAAGCAGAGTCAAGGCAATAGAAAAATGCAGAACATAGGTGACAGTAGTAGATCCTTTTTCTGTGTTGGCAGATAAAGAGAGGAGTTCATATTCAATTCCAGCAATCTCTGACAACACACATTCTCCTGTTGTATTGTGGGTTCTAGAAATAGAACTCAAGTTTTCAGACCCATTTAACCATCGAACCATCTCAACACTCAGAACTACTGTCATCTTAAAATAGTTGTAATATCATGGCATTTTTTTTTGCTTTTTTAATTATAGAAAATGGAAGTGTATACTAATCATTACATGATTTGGAACATCTTATTGAAAATTATGTCTCATCAAACCCTACAGATCACCCAGGAGGCTGGAGAATTTATGATCACTTTTCCTTATGGATATCATGCTGGTTTTAATCATGGTTTCAATTGTGCTGAGTCTACAAATTTTGCTACTGTCAGATGGATCGACTACGGCAAAGTTGCTAAATTGGTAAGTTTCACTTGAAAAGTAAAGCATAGATAGTATGTATTCTCGTTGAACTTATATACTATTGTTTTTCATCATTCACATTGTGTGCCTCTTGCTCTAGTTTTTTTTTTTTCAGTTTAGGTATACCTACTTTACATGAACTGAAAATTCATTCTTGAAGTTTTCTATTTTGAGATTATTATAGCACAGTTTACTCTGACCAAATTTTTTTTTTCCTGTTGATGATTGCTTTCGCTCTCAAAGCTACTACCTGAGATTTTTTGCAACATTTTCTTTGGACTTTGCTTGTTAATATTTAGTCAGTGGATTAGAAATCAGGTTATAGTAGACGTGTTTAGTTAAATTCATAATTATTGATGGTTGAGGGAGTGCGGTAAAAAGAAATTGCTAAATTTTCCTTAATTTAAAAGTAAATTTCTCAGTAGTATTAATCTTAAATGTACCTTAAAATGTATTTTAAGATTAAAGTTGGTATTAAGTTCTGTTTGTAGTGCTTGTCACCTGTCTTTGTTGTAGCTCATATACTTTGTATTTTCATCTACAACGAAGTTTTTATTAAATTAGACTGCTATCACCTTGTGGCTTTTAAAACAGGGACATCTTCCAAACAATTGGTGGTAGTTTTCCCTTTCTCATGGCTTTTCAGGAGAAGCAGACTGGCAGAGGTTATGTCTTAATGAAAGTATTTCTCAGTTTGTGAAATTAACATAGAGTTAGTGGGAAAAAAAATGAGAAATGAAGCTTATGGCCCTTACCTAAGCTACTTCAAGGTACAAATAAATTTGTTTATCTCACTCTGAGAACAGTTGTATGTAGGACCATTTTTTGAATTTAGGGAAAATCACTCTTAAGTTACATGTGTATTTAGAATATTGTGTGATGTTAAAATATATGTAAAAGTCTACCCCTTGACACCTCAGGGAACATTTGAATTCTTGTTTAAAAAGGTTATTCTTTGACAGTTTCCTATGTGCGCACACGCACACTCACACATATCTATGTTCTGGTTGTTTAGCCTTCAGTTCCCTCTCACACCCCCTGCACACTTCCACTTGTAACTAGAAGCTTTGCTGCCTCCTGTCTGGTCCCACTTAGAGGCTTAATATTAATTATAATTGTTTGGTCAATGGCTCAGACTTCTTACTAGCTAGCTCTTTTAAATTAACTCATTTCTATTAATCTGTGTATTGCCGTTTGGTATGTGGCTTACCGGTGGTGCTCTGGCATGGTGTTCCATGTTGTTTCTTCTGACATTCTTTTTTCTCCCAGTGTTCAGTTTGAATGTCTCTCCTAGCCATACTCTGCCCTGCCATAGACCAAAGCAGCTTTATTCTTCAAGTAATAAAAATGACACATACTCACTGTGTAGAGAAGGACACCACACAGCACCCACTGAATCCCTCTTTCTTTCCAACAACTTCCCCTCCTATTTTTATATTTCTGTTGCCATCTGGGTTAGTTTGTGAGCTATGTAGTTTACATAGAGTTGCATGAGAATGGGTGTGATTATTTAATCAAGCATGGGCAAGTGTCCAGTGGCTACATCACTGAAAATAATGATTAATGTCTGTTCCTGAGGGGTTCTTTACAAAGGCACAAAACTGAACAACTACTTCCTATTTGGCAGCCATCATATTCTGTCTAATGAGAAATAGGACATTCAGCTTGCCTGCTTTGACCTGTTAATCTCAGTCCTTGCACTGAAGTAAAATGCTTTCTTCTATGTCAAAATGATGTATAACTATGCAGTTGTACTGTGGTATCATGATTTGCATTTTTAAATTTGGCAGAATAAGTAAGAATTGTAGATATCCAGATCATCAGAAAAATGGTTTAGGATTTATTTATTTTAGGTTTCAGAATTAGCTAGTGATATTGATCAAAGTAAGGCATTTGTTTTTGTTAGCCGTAAGAAATGAGATCATTTTTCCACATTTTTGTAGTAGGAGTGGACTGTAACCTGTGAGGAATCGTGGATATTGATCCACCTTCGAATCTCAGCTGGCTGAAGTGTTATGAAGGAGATGAATCTTAGGTCCATCCTTTCTACTCTTGATATGATATATTATATCTGTGTATTTCTGGGGAATAATTTGTTTTTCAACAAAATTAGAAGACATGTATGTGAACATTGACTCATTATATCACTAGATACATAATACTGATTGATACACACATTAGGCTAGCTAATTTAAAATGTTCCACATGTGCTTCCTATGTGGGCATTTCCCTCACCCTTCTCTTTCTGTGATACTGCTCTGAGAGTTCAAAAGTTTTCTGTTGCTGCTTTATCAATGTGCCAGGTGGTTAATGCCTAAAAATATTATCTTTTCATTTCCTTGCAGTTTAGTAGGTCAGAGGCTCAGCTTTGACCTCACAAGCCAAAAATCAAGTTGTTTCACAGGCTACGTTTGTTACTGATAATTTTCAAAATAAGCAGGATTTCCACACCTTGTCTTATTTAGGTTGCATGTCAGTTACTTTTCTTTTGCTGTGAAGTGAGATGTGTCTCCTGATATGTCAGAAGCTAACCCCACCCAATAGTCTCACCAACATGACTTCCCAGGTTGAACTGAGCAAGGACAACACAAATGGGCATGACAACAAGGAGGGGGTAAAGCCACAAAGAGCAGCTGGCATAGGGAGAGGCATTGTTCCTGGAAGAATTGGTCAGCCTTGAAAACTTACATACAAGCAACATTTTACAGACCAAGGAGGTCATATTTAGGAATACACGCATACACACACACACACACACACACATTTGTTCAATAATAATTAAAGAAAAATGAATCCAAGAATTTGCAAAAGAGTTGGGAGGAGTACATAGGAGGGTTTGGAGGTAGGAAACGAAAGAGGGGAATGTTGTAATTATTAGCTCAAAATTGTAAAGAAAAATTAACAAAGAACAAAAGAGACACCATGGCCAAGGCAAATTATAAAGGAAATTATTTAATTGGGGACTTACTTGCTTACAGTTTCAGAGTATGAGTATGGAGTCTATGGTCATCGTGGCAGTCATGGTAGTAACAGTAGTATTTCAGAGCTCATATGAGAGAAAGAAAGGGGGTGGAAAGAGAGAAGGAGGGAGGAGAGAGAGAAGCGTTAGAACGAGCTCTAACTGGAAATAGAGCAGGCTTCTGAAACCTCAAAACCCATCCCCAGTGACACACCTCTTACTTATTCTTAAGTGTTTCCACCAAATGGGGTTAGCATTCAAATCTATGAGCCCATGGGGTTCATTCAAAACAGCGCAACTTGCTACCTAAATCTGCTTCATAGAGTTGTAAGAAGTCCTTTTTCTTGCTGCCTCACAGGAACTGGTTAGGCTTTTTTTCTACAGACCTTTCTCAAACCTTTCCATATCTTTATTTCAGAACAAATAATGTTTAAGTCTCCATTTTTTTCATATAATACTGAGATTTTAGGGATTTGGATGAGAACATCTTTAAGAGATTTAGGGAGCTGGGAGCCTAACCATTTGCCTATGATAAAGAGTACAGACAGACTTATAATTGAGAATCTACTTAAATATAAGTAACTGGTGTTATCTGCTTAAAAACAGGGACTTAATCTTTAGTAAACAATTTTCAATGTTCCAGTAGCCTATGCATTCTTAATATTACCATTACTGTTCTTAGTCAATTATATTTCTTATACTAAAGTATGATGTGATTTTCTTTTAGACTGAAGTTGCTTTTGATCTCTTTTGTTGATAGCCAAGGTAGATAACCATATAAATTTACAGTATTGTACATGTATATAGCTTTTCACCATTTGAATATTGTGTACTGGGAAAAATTTTATCTGTATTGCGCATGATTGATACAATGTTTGGGTTAGTTATGGATCGCAGTAAACAGACTTTTAGCTTTATGGATGCCCTATTTGTTAGTCTTTTGTTATTTGCTTTTTTGAATTCATTCTAAATGGTAGTATTCATGATTTGCAAGTGTTGATGAATAAAGATTTTTATTATTGTAAACAGACTTCTGGTATTTCACTGCTAGGCAAGGAGTGTAAAACTGCCTGATAAAGTATCTATTGGAGATACAGCATTAATTGATGAATGTAGCATAACATGTGTACTCTGTATCTTCTTCATAATATAGACATATACGTAAATCATTCATCCATATGCTATGAAATAGCACATTATTCCAAATTTCTAATTTGATGTCTTAGAATTGTTACAAAGGCTATTTTCAATGAAAACAAAACTGATTAGAACACCTAACCATTTTTCTATGTTAGGAGATTGATTTCTAGCTGTCAGGTTTGTTTGGCAGAGAAAACTGTTGCTACTTTAGGTGGGTGTTTGAAGAGAGAAAGTGCCATTTACTGAGACTGTACTTGCTTCATGTTGGTGCTGGTCTGGAAAACAGAGGTGAGAATATTTGTCATTTCACAGGTTCTAGTACTGCTTCCTTTGTCCCTTGATCCTTACTTGTGGTGGCTTAGTAGTTCCTGACAATACCTCTGTAATGGGACTGGAGTGATGGTTATAGGTTTCAACTGAAATGATTCATGACCTTTTGATAGGTAGCTGTCAAGAAAGGTGTGTTTTTAAGATCTGGCTTTGATTGACTAGAAATCCCACATCATGATTAGTACCAAATTCAGTATCTCTTCCAAATTGCAACAAGATTTTGGAGTTTGATGTCTTCAACTAAATTTTTGGATTGGAAGGATATTCAGAACTTGTCTCTGAATCTTTTTAGGACATTCCTTTTTTCACAGTACTCATTAAAACTTCCATTTCTCTCCAACTTCTGGTCTCACAGCAGCTTAGTCTGATCATCCTGGTTTCCAAGAGGTCTCTAGTACTCTGTCTACGCATCCTTGACATTCTTGTTATTTCCTTCCATCAGGATCATCTGTCTCTCTTTTATTCTGACTTGTAAAGTATAACAAGGTGCTCCAGAGCTACAGGACCTTGTATTTGACAGTGTTATGCTGTCTGAGAAGGTGTTTATATATTTGTCATGATTTTACTAATC